ATATTCCAGCTTAAAATTAATGTGTAAAAATATTTTTAATTAAATTTCAATAAATATACCAGAGAGGATTAAACATGAGAAAAACAATAGTTTCAATCTTTCTCAGTTTTTTTTTTTTAAAGATGACCAGTAAGGGGATCTTAACCCTTGATTTGGTGTTGTCAGCACCACGCTCAGCCAGTGAGCAAACCGGCCATCCCTATATGGGATCCAAACCCGGGGCCTTGGTGTTATCAGCACCGCACTCTCCCAAGTGAGCCACCGGGCCGGCCCAATCTTTCTCAGTTTTTACCAACAATATATTTTATTGGTTAATGATAGACCTGAATTAATTGGTAAGTTATAGTCTATAAAAGGTTTTTATAAAAATGTATTAACTTTCTGATAATTAATAAATCCAGATTCTGTATGGTCAGAAAAACCAGGATGGTGGCACACAGCAAAATAAAAAGATAAAAAATCTTGGGTTCAAAATGAAATGATTAAATCAAAGAAAGGAGTTAACAGTATTTTCAGATTCCCCTTATTAGGGAGTCATGCACAATAACCTACACTACTACTTCTCAAGATCTCTCAACTGGGGACAAGAATAACATCAGATCTAAAGCTTTCTCTCATCTTTCCTCTAGTTCACTTTTTGCTTATTATAAAGTAAATCTTTTTGCATGAGATGAAAAAATAAAATTGTAGACTCTTTCAGATGGAATTAGCACAGCTAGGTCTTTTGGTGTCCTAGCAATTCAAACTGAAATTAAGGGCTTCTCATATAGCACTCCTACGAGCTTCTGAAAATGCAGCCAAGTAGCACTCAGAAAGACAAAACATTATTTCTTCTTCTGTAAATATCTAAGAAAGTGAAAAACCAACACCTAGAAAAAAAGCAAGGCATACATTCATCAGCACCAAGTATATATGATCCTCAAAAGGAACAGGTTTCTTATGTGTCCTTGTGTTGATGAATAGGTTCTAATCTCCCCTGTAGGAAAAATCCACTGCCTGAAGTTACTACCTTTAGGCAAAAGAAAGGTAAAACTCAACAAATTACATTTTGATTCATCCAAAAAAACACAACATATTAACATTTAACTACCTTAAACATTTTTTCAGAGCAGGTATGCTTTCAAGTTAGACTATCTCCCTTCCCTACTACATTACTTGCTAAAATAGGAAGTAACAAATTTAACTTTATTACAATAATACTACAGCTACCATTCCAAAATTGTACTTTATCACAATACAACAGTTAACATTTAAGTAAGACTCTAGTTGTAGTTAAAAGGTGGTCATATCAATATCTTGTCTTTCTTGCCTGTCAGGTATGATTGGTGGTTATGTGGATTGTTATGTACGGTTGGTGGATATGTAATTGTTGGTGGTTGGAACTCAGGTCACATACAATCAACCACATTACTGGATCCATGACCTACATCTCGAATTTGGCTAGTTAAACAGGCACACACAGCTACGCCTGCTCCAGCTCTGCAGTGAGACACAGATCCAACAAGCTCCCACCTGAAAAGAGAAAGAATGTCACCTGAAAACAAAGCATGATTTATTTTACTCAAAATACCAACCGAAGACAAAAATTCCCTATTGTAGGACTGGTTTTGAGAGATACTTAGTTTCTAGGGGGAGATAAGATATCCCAAAGTTTTGTATTAACAACTACAACTAGAAGTATTTTAACACTGCAGTAATCTGTTTTCAGAAGATACCACTAAAGCACAGAGAAAACATGTAAATTACCTATTCAGCACTGGATCAAATGCTTCTACTGTATTTAAGTACGCATTGCCATTATGACCACCAACTGCAAAGATTTTGCCCATCACTGTTGCGATCCCCACTCCACCCCTGGGAGTGGTAAGAGCTGCCACATAATCCCACTTGTTGCTTCGAGGATCATACCGCTCAACCGAACTCAGAGGAGAATTATCATCAAAACCACCTATACAAAGAAATATTTTTAAAATAGCATTGCATTTCATAGAGATTAACTACTAAGTTCCCAATCAATAGCTTCTATAACCCATCTTTTAAAACCAGTTTAGAATGGTTTATAGAGAAAATTAGGAAAAAAATTCATCCTAACACCTATCTATCACCATCACCAACTACTATTAGACATTTTCTACAATTTGACTGAAGATAATTTGAGAGGTACTTTATCTCAATACCAGAATTAAAAATCTTAAAGTGGGAAAAACTGGAGTCCTTGTATCTAAGCAGATTAATTTAGGAAAAAAGGAAAAAAAAAACAAAGCACCAACATTCATATAATTTGTGCTTAGCCTCCTAGGGGTGAGCAAGACAGTACTGAGATTCCTTCTCTCTGTGTTTATTATATTTTTAAACAGTAAAAAGGCTTGAGAAAAGAATAAACTACACTAAATCATAGCAGTCATCTAGATATAAGTTGAAGTTTTCCAATTGTTTCTCTTAATACTATTATTGCCATCATAATTACAGAGATGGTGGGCTATGATTTAATTCTCACCAATTTTTGCCAAAACTACATCTTCCTGCTACACTAGATGACGACAGTCCTTTCTTTAGATCATTCTAACAATGTAATGTATTCCTGAGGGTTAAATATAGAGACTGTTTAACAGTGCCCCTTTCTTTAAAAATAAGTGTCTTTCTTTTTATGTTCCATGCCTAAATTAATAATAGCTCTTTTTGGTCACTCAGCCTACTTTTCTGAGAACAGGAAGTGTTAATATTATGATTAGTATAGTTAAACATAAGGTCAGGAAAAAAGATTGAGTCAACTTTTCCAATGGGTTTAACTGTATTAAATTAACTGAAATAAAATTCACCAATTTTATGTGTATAATTTGATAAATTTTGACAAATGTCATCACCACCACAACCATGATATAAAACATTTTTCATTGTAATAAATGATTTAGTTTTAATTATTGCTCATGCTAATGTACAGGATTAAGTTTTTTGTGTGTGTGTCTTTTTTTGTGTCCGGCAACGGGATTGCAACCCTCGGTGTTGCTCCCACAACTCGCTCAGCCAGTGAGCGGGAACCGGTCTGTATGTGGGATCCGAACCCTCTGCGGGAGCGCCACCGTGCTCCCCAGCGGCGCACTGTAGCAGTGCGCCACCGGGCCGGCCCCAGGATTAAGTTTTTAATAGTTTTATTTTTCATAGCTTTCTTTTTTACTGGTACCCCTAACATTTCCCTAGATAATGCACATAAATTTATAATAATAAAAAATTTAAAGCAGAGGAATAGAAAATGCAAAATGCAATTAGGTTGTTAGACATCCTCATACCTTCAACTTTTTCTTATTCAAATTGGTTGTACCTATTGTAGGTAGGGCTTGAATGACCAAGAGGATTTTTTTTAATGTTCAACCTGAGTCATTCTTATTTTAACCAGGTCTGTTCTAACTATAAGAATCAAGAAGATTTAGCAAGTAATAGCAACAACAATACTTCCTATTGACATATAACATATGTCAATCCCAATGGTAGATAGGGATCTGTGAGAGGCAGCAACAGTGTACTGTAAAAACTTTGGATTCACATAGACCCAAGTTCAAATTCCAGCTCTGTCACTTGTTTAGGCATGTGACTATGAGTAAATAATTCATCTCTGAGTCTCTGACTACTTCTCCCTGCAGATATTTAAATGCTAACAATATACCACTCACATTATCAAGCATTGTTAAGTTACACAGCACAATTCATATCAATGTATATAAGTGTGACATATGCTAGTGACAACCTCTTTGAACTCTTCCTCCTCTGTAAAAGAAGAGATTACTAATCACAATATAGCTACTTGTTTATTGGGTAAGTACAAAGTGCCAGACACAGTTTGAGATGTTTAACATGTATTACCTGTGATTCTTGAAACAACTGTGAAAGATAGGCATTATTATTCCCATTTCATATAATTTAAAGCCCTGCTACTGGATGTGTGTTGACTGGACCTGAAACAGCATTGAAATCACTTGGGAACTATAGAAACATAGAATCTGGGCCCCTCCTTTGCAGTATAACAAGATTTCCAGATTATTCATATGTATATTAACGTTTGAGAAAGCACTGCTCTAATGTTCTTTCCAATTCTGCAAGTAAATCTAAAAGCAATATAAAGATTGACATAGCCTTTATTCATATGAAATATCTACTGGCTTACTGAAAGTATTCAACATAATTTCTCTGGAAATGAAGTTGAGAAAAACATGTCTTAGACCTTCTAAGTTTCATTTTAACAAAACACATTCAACTTGAGTACTTACATTTAAAAACATGTATCTTATTTAATGTAGTCCCCTACTTTAGGTATATTTGCAACTCCCAGGAAAGTGTGAAAAGGTAGAAGTTGTAAATATGAAAAATTAAGATTTAAGCAAAAAATCATGAATGCGAACCTTAAGAATTCAAAAACAGTCTTAGGACTGATTCCTGAGAATTTTCCCAGGAAAGTGTGAAAAGGTAGAAGTTGTAAATATGAAAAATTAAGATTTAAGCAAAAAAATCATGAATGCGAACCTTAAGAATTCAAAAACAGTCTTAGGACTGATTCCTGAGAATTCCTTGAGTGGTTAAGGCTAAATGCAATATAATTTGTTATTGTGCTGTTTTATGACACTTGTCATTGTATATTGATATATTAAACTAGAGAAATACCATCCACTCACCGACAACATATAAGCAACCATGAAGCTCACTAACTCCATTGCCTGCTCTTCGTTGACCCATTTCTTTAACTTCTATCCACTTATCCAGATGTGGATCATATCTCTCCACACTAGATAAAGAAGCTACTCCATCATTGCCACCTACTGCATAAACATGGTTCTAAATGAAGAAAAACAAACAAAATACATTAGATTCTGAGTTGATTTATATATTGTACTAATGGTAGCCTGAAATGTGCAAGAAAGCAGTATTTCATAAAATAAAATGGTATATAATCAATATCTGCATAATGGTGATATGAATAGATCAGACCTTTCCTTATTTGATTACGAATGTGATGCAATGCAATTCAACGGGCAAGTTGTCATATAACTTACTACTAGAGCCACAGAGCCAACTCCTCCACGGGGAGTATTCATTGGTGCCACTGTACTCCACTGATCAGATTCTACATCATATCTCTCCACATCATTAAAGCAAGTATTGTCATCTAACCCTCCAATCGCATAAATTGGGCCTCCTAAGGAGGCCAAGGCAATTCCTCGCCTGCAAAGACAATAAAACACACTTTAGCAACTGGGTTTGTTTCCCAGAAAAAAGTAGCAAAAAAAATTGTACTAATGCAAATCATTTATTATGTTAATCTCCAAATAGTATGGTTTGTTTCCATTATTTTCAGATTTATCAAAGCTTCTGAATAGATGGTTACAGAGGTGCCAAACTCTGCCATTTTATGGGAATAGTGCACCCTGAAATTGTACAGAGCATAGCCTATACAGGCTACCTTAAACTCTTATCAAATAATAAAGTAAAACCCAACATAATAGTATTGAGGAAGCCAAAATATTCAATTAGTAAAATACACAGTTGCAAAATTGAGAGGTTACTGAGTTGACAGAGATGATTTGCTGTGGAGGTCAGAAACCAATCTCACTTTTGAATCCATGTAATTGTAAAGCTTGTTTTTTTGCAGGGTTTCATTATATGACACAAAAGAACATTAATTTTTATATTATAAGCTTTACACCCCACTGCTGGGTTGTTTTTAATTTAATTTAATTTTATTTTTTTAAGGCTAGTCAAATGAAGCAGTGGGAGTGCAGAACAAACAAAAAAATC